TATATATATATATATATATATATATATATATATATATATATAATATATATATATATATATATATATATATATATATATATATATATATATATATATATATATATATATATATATATATAATATAAGTGACGATCAGCTCCTGTGTTTGTTGGTTTACGCTAGGATCACCATTACTGAGTAGTTTTCTCGAAATGTTCCGTGCTGGGCAATGGTGCCGGCCTAGTACCAGTTGATTGGCTTTCATCAGAAAATTTTGAAGACATGATTCAAACTCGCGACCTTTCTGGTTTTGTAAAGTTGCCTTAAAATTGTCTAAAGTTGTCTTAACCAGGATGACTATATCGTACTACACGTCAAGTTAAAGGATGTGTGTTTATTTAATTTACAAAAAGTTATTAAAAGCTCAGCCATAGATCTCGGTAGTGAGCTAAAGGTCTGGAGATCTTATACTGAGATGCACTTTTATCTTTATAGTTCGCTCTAACCACTCACTATCTTGGTTTAGATTTATTGGGTGTCAACAACAAAGGTTGTATGTAAAAACACAACATTAGTACATCAAGAAATGGTACCAAGTAATTCCACCGCAACTAGACCCCTATCATTTAGTACCTTACTTTTCATTTCAGGTGAAGCGTAGGCGGGCACATCAAGTTGACTGAGTAGGAGGACTCAAAACATCCTATTTTACAGTACGTGTATGATCATAGAAGTTGTTTTAACTCCCGTCACGCCCAAGGCAAAACTTTCATGACCAAGTTGTGTCCCATCAACTATATTAGACATCCGTATCGTACGCGAAGTGATGATCGGGCGCCAACAACAAGAGCTACAGTCACATCTGCGTGGTTATTGACGATGTTAATGTGGTGGAAATAAAAAAACGGTTCGCGGACGTCGAGATTTTTAAAGCGAACTTTACGAAACCGGCAGCGGATGCATTTATATTTTAGTACGCCAGATTATGTCAAAATGCTCATCAGCGACCGCATCACGGATATCAAGTACACGGTTTAAAATGTACAACATGACCAGCCTCGCCGAGAAAAACAACCCCCCACACTACAGGACCTCATTGACCCATTTTGGGGGCGTGCTGACGAGACCTAATCCCACTGCACTGTTGTTGTGTATTTCGATTCAGGACATAAGAGTAATGTCAAACCTGAGTATATTGTACACAAGCGCAGTTTCACTTTGTGCAGGGCGAATCTTGTACAAATTAGAATTCAATTTGGAGCCAAAACCGGGTTCCAAGCTTCTTTTCAGATGATTTATTAAGGATTTAGTGATTTCGTAGCACGAACCGTTCGAACTTTTACGCTACACGAAGGGTGTACCGATAGAAACAAGAACTAGACACAATAGATATTCTCCACGAGCGGTCTTGATAGGTTGTATCACTGATTCTCTAGTATTTTTTCTAAAACGATATAAAGGGACGGAGCTATAAAAAACCAAGACAGTCTGTACTGTTTCCATGAGATCATATTTGTGCTTTCTATTCAACAGCTGTTTGATTATAGGGAAGCCTGAATTGGACCGTCGGTATATATTGTGATATGCGGAGCCAGCGACAGTATACCGACAATTGAAACATCAATCATTTAACTTGGCGTTCGGTGATAAATAAGTAAATTTCATATTTGGAATGTGAACACAGACACCGTACGCTCTACATTTATTTATAGAAAAAATAATACTGACCCCCTTAAAAAAAGCCTCCCCCAAAAAAGCCGAATATCCCGGTGTTTTGAAGGGTTGGCGGCATTTTTGGTTGTCAGTTGTTTCGCATCAGTACACTGACAGTGGTGAGGAAAGTAGTCTGCTCTACGGCCTCGAAGGTAAAAAATAGTATATATTTAAACTTATTTTTCTAGTATGCACCTTGTACCTTTGGCATACATAGTGTTTTGGTCCTATAGGTAGGCAGGAAGGTATCCCTGTTACCACGAATTCTGACATTAAATGGAATCTCTCAATGCTCGATAATGCCCCGAGGATTCTTGTTACAGCAGCCATTAACACTCACACAAGCATTTACACGCACAACAACTATAGCTGTGTACACGAAGGGAACCAAACTAAGTCCAATATTTTATACGACCTATGTAGTTTACCAATTCATAGTTTGGTGTAGCGGATTGATACGTGAGACATTTCTCGGGTATATGTTATTCATATCCTTTAAAATTTATGTTCGGACTAATCGGCAACTGCAACAATCTGCGGAGACTTCGAAGCGAACGCTTCAGTCATGACCAGGAATCAACCCCAGTTGCTCCAGCGTATGTTCCAATGCCATATCTTAGATTTAAATCTGTATACAAGGGCAATGTGCGTATCAGCGAAATACATTGTTCCGAGAAAACCTCGAAGTTTTTAAACTCTTATGGTGTGCCTTGTGTGTTTAAGGCTCAGAGTGGTTGTAATTTGTTCTGTTGTTACGTAGACGTATGGGTATGTAATTTGTTCTGTTGTTACATAGACGTAATATCGACGTTGGCACCTGAACCGCCTCTGCGAATGCATGCTAATTCTTATTTTATACAATCACAACACTCGTCAGCTACCAATCAAGTATGCGTGTATATATGTATATATGTACGTATGTATGTACGTATGTATGTACGTATGTATGTATGTATGTATGTATGTATGTATGAATACATAATAT